AAAAGACAGCGGGCAGGCAACAGAGCCAAACGGCAGGTCCAATTACCAGATATTTTAGTTATTTGGATTATTTTTTTATTTACTCTTGCATTGTTCCACAAAAGATTACAGTTGAACTTCATTAATCTAAATGATCACTTTACATTTCTTTACAGTTCTTTACAGTTAAGAACTGTAAAGATCACTTTACAGTTCTTAAAAAGCCAAAATTTGCTATGCTATTAGAGTATATTCATCAACTTTTAGACATCTCACTGGGTTATTTCTTGAGCATTTGTCTGCCAGTGTTAGGTATCATGTGAAATCTATATAGAAGTAAGACAACGTTTCTTATCTTCTCAAACTTACAAAACAAGTTGGGGAGACAGATCCATACCGAGCTAACAGTGCGGCAGGAAACGAGTGGGTCAGAGCTGGAGAGCTATGGGCGAGGAGGACCAGGCTCCTGAAGGCTGCCGTGAAAGTCACACGGGGACCAGCAGAGTGGGCTCAATCTGTCAGCCAAGCACAGGGTACTGGAAAGACAGCAGTGAACAAGCCAGCCTGTCCTTCACCCTCAAGAGCCCTGTGTTATGGCTATGAGTGACAGGCCCAGCCCTGTCCTGGTGGGCTGTCTGAGGGGTGAGCACACAGTGAGAGGGGGCTGACGCACAGGGTGAGCACGGAGCAGGCTGTGGCCCAGAAACGCTGAGGGCTGCTGAAGAGTGAGGGGAGCAGTGAGGAGCTGGAGCCTGGCCAGGGCCAGGGAGGTAGAGGGGAGGCCCCGCGGGGCCCTGCAAGCCCAGCCGAGAAAACAACTGCATCACAAAAACAAAGGGCGCCACGTAGGAATTCATTCACAGTCACACTGTTTTTGGAAAGTGTAGCAGTAGTCTAAGCAAGACATGAGGTGGCCTAATTCAAAGTCATGGCAAAAGGGACAGAGAAGAGAGGAGGGATTTGGCATTTCGGAGGAAATGATGACAATCACGGGCACCTGTGGAGGACTCTTGCTGGGCACCATCCTAAGTGGTCTGTATGGCTTAACTCATTTCAGCTCCGCTTAGCCCACTTTACACACAGGGAAACTGAGGCACAGGTGTTTAAGTAACAAGGTCTCAAGCTAGTAAGTAGCAAAATCAGGATTGGACCCCAGGCAGCCTTGCTCCCAAGTGCATGCTCTGCACCAGCATTCGATGTCCAGCTCAGGGCAGAGCCCAGGCAACGTGAGCCTCGCTGTCCTCTGGCCTGCACAGTGGGGTGCTGGTGCTCCATGATCTCTGTCTACCAAATAGGAAATCCAAACAATTTCTTGCCTCTTCTGAGAGCAGGGGCCAATGGTGGGTAAGCCATGCTATTGACTTTACTCTGCCAAAACCCTCTGCCAGCCTGTCCACTTCCTCCTGTCTGGCGTTTCTGTGTTCACTCGATCAGTGCTCGCCCCCAACTTCTTCACGTGGTGGTTTATAAAACAGAACAGAAATGGAGCCCAGTACAGCCTCTTACTCTGGACTCCGCCCAAGAGTTGTAGGATGCTGCAGCCCCTGGGAAAACAGAGTCTGTTAAGTGTCAACCCAGCCACCCCCAGTCCTTGCTTCTTCCATAGGTGTTGTGCCAGAAAAGTCTTTACAATCCATGGGAAGCATGTCCTGTGTTCTCCTTTTGTACACTGAGGTTCTAGGTTGGCTCTTCAAATTCCCTTTTAACCTCAATATTTCAAAAACTCATCCTAGCTGTCCTGTAGTAATTAACAAAAATAAATACATTAAATTAAATTAAAGTCAGGATCTCAGAGAAGAATCAGGAAGTGAGTTTCCCAGGAGGCCCCACTGAGGCTTATGCTGACATTGCTCTCTGTGGTGTCTCTGTTTAGATTCTGAGAGTTCATGAGCAAAATCACTGCTCTTATCTTTGGTGACTGGTTAAAATATAACTCTGCTGGGCACTGAGATGGCCTTTCAAACTGCCTCTATAGTGTGGGACAGAGACTGATGAATAGAGTTTTATCTAAATTCAAATGGGTCTAATCTCGTTGTCCCCAAATTATCTCTGATTTAAACCCCTCTGGCTGATTAGCTGCTGTGTGCTCCGGAATATGTAAACTGCTCTTTCCGCCCCTTTCCCAAGCCTTCTCTGAAGACTGATGTTCTGAGCAAACATCTCAGTTTATTCAAGTTGCTTTGGTCCTTTAAAGGTCTGGGGTGGGGAAAGTTGCGGGGGCGGTGGGGGGAGTGGAGCTCAGTTCAACTTACTAGATTTACAGGAGAACTTACCCAGTGGCACAGGGCCGAGGTGCTGGGGTGTTGGGTTTTGGGGTGGGTTTTTTTGGCATGCCAAGCAGCCTTTGGGCCAGGAGGCAAGTTTCACTTGGAGGCGCCAGCAGGAAATTCAGGCCATAGTCCCGATGGTGGTCTGGGGCACTCGGAGGACTTGGTCTGTGAGGCATCACCCCGGCCTCTGGACCCTTAGGGCCTGCTCTCAGGCAGTCATGTGGCTGCCAGGCCTGCCAGCACCAAAAGAGGCTTCCAAACAGATGTGGTTGAAATGCCTGGCACATCACAGTGCTCAAAACTGTCAGCTGCTACTGTCATTCATTCATTCCTTCATTCATTCTTCAACAAACTTTTGTAAAAATGTGTCTGGTGTACCAGGTTCTCTTTTAGGCATTTAACGAGGCAAAATGAAAGTTAGTGATGGTGGTTAAATCAAGCTGGAAATGCCCCCTGAAGTCCTCCTTGTGGGTTTAATGAACTCACAAACAACACGAATTTTAAATAAAGGGAGAGGGACAGGGAGAGGTTGACTGGTTCCTGTGTGTAGGGACTTCAGTGTGATGTATTACTCTGTGTATGTATGACACCTACACAACACCTACCACAGAGGAGATCTCCAGGAAATGTGTGGTGAAGCAATGAATGAAAGAGATACGTGGGGCGGGAGAGAGAGAAAGCAAGGGTAGGAGAGAGAAGTACAGAGAGAGAGAGAAAGGAGAGAACAGTGAGCTAATATAGCCCAGAATGCAGATGGTGGGTCCAACCAGGCAAGAGGCCAAACATAATTTCTGAATGGATGAGACCACATCATATTTAATAAATAGAGGCCTTACTCTTTTGTAACACAGGGGGACTGAGCACAGAACAATCAGGGTCCCAAGAATCACAGGGAGACTGAAGCTGATGAAAGGAGCCCCCTGTGCAGGGGGGTCACAGGAGGGGTGACAGGGCCTAGTAAGTCGGTCCTCTGTTTGGAAGCATTTTCTCAGTTTCTGCTCCTTCCCTCTCCCTCTCCACACACTGCTCCTAAATAATAATGCCTAATTTGGAAGTGCCGTCCGGAGAAGAACCTGCTCGTTTCCTCTTGAGTAGACGTGAGCCCCGTTAACCTTATTTCCTAGCACCTGAGAAATCTTAGAAAGGGAAGCATTGAAATCAAACAGCATCTTAAACATTCGGTACTTTCTAGACAATACAAGAGAGACAGGAGACGTGGGAGTCAATCATTTTTTTTTCCCCCAAGAAAAGAAAAACATTAAAGACCTCAAACATAGACCTTGAAGACTAATTCCTGGTAATGTCTTTATAAGATCTCAGTTTCCTGTGATGGCTAGTTTTGCTCCAGAAGGAAAAATTTTAAAATTTTACTCTGATATGACAAGCTAACTAATAATTTTTACCTAAGATCTGTGCAAAAGGAAGCAAAGAATTGCCAGAAAATTTGGGAATCCATCCTATCTACAGCTCTTTCTTGCAGTTGCGCTGAAACAGAGATCCCTGCACAGCTACAAAAACTAGAGGGTGAAGCCTGGTGGGTTAAACCCATTTGTTTCCCTTCTGTGTAGTTCAGTAAGCACTTCCATGGTGCCTGCTCTTTGCTGGAGAGCTCATGGTATTAGCTGTAAAGGAAATTGGAAATGTGGTTCCCTTTCCTGGCTGGAGAGAGAAAGGGTGCATTGTGAGTAGGTGGGAGAGGATGGGGTGTAAACAGCACCAGATGTCTGCAGAATCTGACCCCCATCCACAGCTTCCCCCGCCCACCAGTCTGGCCCTGCACAGGAGTGAGGACTGCCATGCTCATGCCAATAGGCTGGAGCTTGGTAGGGTCCAAGGGAGCTTGGCTCAGCTAGGCAGGCACCAAGCGAGGAGGAGTGGAGGCCGCAAGTGACCCTTGCCTGCCAGCAGGGAGGAAGTGCATGTGACAAAGGCGCTAAGAAGGCTTTGGGCAAGGCCTGGAGTTGGGGCCATTTTTCTGGGAATTCGCTATGAGTCTGGCACTGTGCTGGGTGCTTCTCAAATATTATTTCTTTCTTTCTCTTAGATTACTACAGGATTATGAAGGCAGCCAGGGAGAGCGTGGGGAGTGGCTCCTTATAAAAGCAAATTCAACACGCATATGATTTCAATTTAAAAAAACATAAGAGAAAGTAAAACTGGACAATAATCTTCACTGCTAGTGAATCACGTAAGATAGTCCAGGAAACCGTAGTGAGAGTGTGGCTTCCCAACACTGAGAGGCATTGCTCTGCTCCTACCTGGGGAGGTCAGGTGACCCTCCCCACTTTACAGATGAACTAAGTGCAGGGAAGGAAAGACTGCAGGGGGCACGGTGGGCAAAGTTCCAGAGTAAACTTCCAGCCAGGCCTCACCCTTGGGGCGGAACTCTGGCTCTTCACTGTCCTCTTCTGCTTGGTTCATCTGGGTTTGACACTTGAGTAACCAGATAGAGAAAAGTTAATAAATCAGCAGCTGGTTATATCTTCATTTATTTGTCTTTTCATCCATTATTCAGTAGATAGTTAACGTTTACAAGGTGCGAGTTACTGTGTCCATCAAGCGAGGTACGTAAGTGGGCTCAAACATAGTCCCTGACATGGAGAAGCTCCGAGTCTGGTGCGAACGTGACGTCACATCCCCGAGCACGGGCACCACTTTCCCCGTAGGGCCTTGCCCTCTCTGCTGAGTCTGCACTCTTCAGGGGGCTCCGCTGTGCGACCCGTCCCCTCACTGCATGGCCCCACGTTTCAGGGCATGAACTACCTGGAAGACCGGCGCTTGGTGCACCGTGACCTCGCAGCCAGGAATGTCCTGGTGAAGACACCACAGCATGTCAAGATCACCGATTTTGGGCTGGCCAAACTGCTTGGTGCTGAGGAGAAAGAATACCACGCAGAAGGAGGCAAAGTAAGGAGCTGGCTTGTCGATCGGCAAGCGTTTTCCCGCCAGCAGACTAACTGATGTAGGGCACTCTCAGGACATTCTGGGTGAGGTCACAGCAGCTGCCATCGACACCTGGGTCCAGCCAGGGTCTCCCTCTGGCAGTGCAAGCCAGAGCTGCTTTGGGAGCAGGATTTGCTGGGAGAGTGAGTAAAGACGTTTCTGACATGTCCAGAGACCAAAGGCAGTAAATATGAGTTCAGCTCCATCTCCAGGTGACCGTTAGCCAAGCTTAGATTTCAACCTCCCCCTACAGGATAAAGCACCCTTCAGAAGAACTGCTGGGAAATGTCACAGCTAATTTGGTGCCACACTGCTGTTGAGGACATCTCAGAAATACGGAAAGTTCGCCATGTTGTTCCAAGGGCTCCCGAGGGTCTGGGACTGCCACCTGGCACTGGCAGCAGTAGAGTTGGTTCCCTCCTCTCAAACGGGTTTGGGGCTTCTCCAGGGGACTCTCTCCCAGCAGTGAGGGGCACAGGTCTCCTGTTAGGCCTTCCAGAATGGTCTGGATCAGCTGCACCCCACTTAAAAAGCTTCACTCTGCCCTGTATGGCTCCAAGCAGCTGGCCCCTGCAAACACCCACAAACACGGGGTGGATAGGACCACAGGGTATGACCAGGGACCCCAGGTACCAGCACATGCACCCAGCTCACCAGAACAGCCCACAGACCAAAGGTGCTCAGCTGTGGTGGTTGTGAAATCAACTCTGGGGTCTAACAGAACAGCCCTGTTGTCTGCCAGATTTAAAACCTGTGCCTCCTGGTGGGAGGGAGCACTAGGTTTGGGGGATCGTGTGGGAGTGGCCTCGCTTCCCCACTTTTGTCACTCATAATTTGTCCCAGCATGATTTAACTTTTTCAACAGAGAGAAGCTAATAGTTGTCTTATTACTTTATCTCCCATTATCCCAAGGTGCCTATCAAGTGGATGGCTTTGGAATCCATTTTACACCGAATTTATACCCACCAAAGTGATGTCTGGAGCTATGGTGAGTCAAAATGCTGATGCTAATGACTTTGTACTGAGGCTAACTGGCTTTATTGTTTGTTGATTTACATTGTATGCTCTGTCATTCAAGTATTTTCTTCCAAGACAATGACTAATAATGTAATAGTTGCTGTCTATCTATTATGCTAAGAAAACATGACAAAGGAAATTGAGTCTAACTACCATATAGATGTTGCTAGAGAGATCAGTGAACTTGTCAAGAGAAGGTGACTGGAGGGAGAGGGAACTTGAACTTAGGAACTGCCTGTATCTGTGAAATCAAATCAAACTTGACCTCTTGCCATGAATTTAAAGTGAACAAAAGGGAAATGACAAATGAGGCTTCATGGGGAAGAGTTTCTTGGTAGAGAAATGAGGTTTTGTGATGGACTGACTCAGTGGCTATTGTTTCATGTATTGAATGGTAGTCTTCGTGTGTTGGAGAGAATGGCTTGACAAAAAATGCACTGTGAGGGTGTGTCTGTGGGAAAAAAAAAAATAGGAAAAGGGAAGTATTTATTGCTTGTAGCTCTAGTGAGGACTATCTCATCAGGATCCGATTCTCCATTTCCCCCTCACTGCACAGGCCTGTGCTCTATCCTCTGGGGTGCTTCCGTCTTCTCAAACATGCCTTTCACGTTCTTGCCTCATTGCCTTTGTGCAAAGGATTTCCTGAGCCTACAAGGGCCTCATCTTTTGAGAAAGTGTCACTAACACATTTTCAGTGACTGCTATGCTAGGCACTTTCACCTGTTATCACCCTCGATCCTCACATGTCACTCAGCAACCTGCTGAAAGCCTGCAAAACACATTATCTGCTACATTTAGGTGTGAATTATCAGCCTATCCCCAGCTATTAAAGCAATGGGGGTGAAGGGGAGGAGTCACTCCACCTCCAAAGATATGTGTATTTGGGGAGAGCAACATTGACAGGAATTTCCAAGAGGAATTTAGTCCTTATCACAAAAACAGAATCATTCAGCATATCGTCCATTTAATTTTTTTCATAGCATTATTAACTTCCTAATATTCCAAATGTATTTTTTTTAACTTCATGTGTCTTTGTCTGTCTCTTCTGCTGGAATGCAAGCTTTACAAAGAGAGATCTTTGTGAATGAATAAGTGAAGTTTTATCTGTACCTGTGAGCTGAGTTGCCTGCAATTAATGAACTAGATAAGGAAATAAACCTCTTCTGTTGCCTTGTTATTTTCAGTCATTTTCAAGCTATGTCTGCTCCCCAAGAGGCACGGAAAGAAATGCTTCTTTTCCAACTTCCGGATCCTACCCAGAGTCATCTCCATTGTCACCACGCTAGCCCAAGCCACCTCCTTTCCTCAGTGACCCACAGCAAGAGCTCCTAATAGATCTTCCTTCTGTGTTGCACACTTGTCATCTATTCTCCAGACGACAGACGAAATACATTTTGCTATATTAGACTTTTACTTCTCTGCTTACCATCCTTCTTTGGTTTTCCAAGTGTATTCCAAATGGAATCTGCACTCCTAACCACGCTTGGCTCCTTCTGCCTTTCCAATATCGTGTGGCTCCTTGTCCTCTGTGCTCTGGCCTGTGTGTGCCAACCCACAGTCCACACTTGGTCCACATTTGTCGAATAAATGAAAACTTTCTTAAATTCAGTTAAAACCTTTGACACCCAGTATCAGAAAGTCAGCATCACTCTAGTGGTCGTGTGTTTTTCCTTTCAATGGAGATTATGTTGTAGGGGATTATGATCTGCTACCCCTGGCAGCACAGTGAAATTGTTGGACCATGAACCTGAATTTTTAGTTTAAAGAACATATCCTATTACTCCACGCTCTAGTCTCCAGTCAAGGCCAAATGTTTTAACAAATTAGGGACCTACGTGTTCTGCTTAGGAGTTGAAAAGCGAGAAGCCATACCACCTTCCAGTCCCACTCATAACCCACAGCCAGGGACACACACTCCCCTCTCTTACGCCATTTGTTCAGAGACCTAAAAAGCTTGTCTCCCTACAGGAATTTATTCTGCATGTTTAAACCTAGTTAGGTGAGAATTAAGTGACTTCATAGATCTGGAAATGAGATTTTCTTTCTTTCACCAAGTCCGTATTGATTATATGGTGGGGGAAGACAGAAGAATCTATTTTCTTATCCCTGGACCATTGCTCTCCTTCATTTTCCAATCTTGCATTCTATATATTAATTCACATTCATTCAGTTTTGGAATGGTCCTGGAAAATCCAAGCAGATCTGTGGTGATATGTATCTAGAGGCCAAATCTAAAGAAAATGGGTCATCGGACCCACTGGAGAACAGGAAACTGCTGGGTTCCTGTGTCTGGTCCCTCCCTATGTAGTGTGTGGACCCAGGCTCAGTCCCACTGAGGTCATCTCTAGTGGCATCACGGGGCACCTTTGCTGTCCAGGTGGGGACAAGCTCCCTAAGGTGTTTGCCTGTTTCTAGAGCAGAGAATTCCATCAAAGGAGGCATGGAGATGGAAGGACCATCAGAGCTCAGAGAGGGTCTGAAAAACACCAACTCTAAAATTACTACTGCTTTGATTTTTTTCAATCAAGATGATTGCTTGACTTTGCAACAAAGAAGTATGGGATTTTTATGTTTATCAAAAAGAACATAGGGTTTTTTTTGTTTCTAATTTTTTTTATTATTTAAAAATGCACTATTTATAAGCTTGTTTGTAATCTCCGTCCTTCCACTTCCATAGACACAAGTCACTCAGGGCAGATGTCTGAGTCTGTAACCCCTGCTCCATAACATCATAATACTTACATCGTTAGAGTGCTTGTACTGTCTTTGTTGTTATTCCTAAAGTTCGCCATTTACTGGCCACTTATTATTTGCCTGGCATTGTCTGAACATTTCAGTTGTATTATCTTATTTGATCCTCACAACCATCCTATGAGACAGATACTGTCATTATCCCACTTTACAGAGAGGTAAACTGAGGTTTCCAGCAATCAAGTAAATTGCCCAATAGGTTTTTAAACATTAGGAACAGTACCAACAGTGATGACTAATGACAGGGTGTTGTGATTATTATCAACTCCTGAAGCAACTACTTCATCCTCTCAGGAGTCACCGTTTGGGAATTGATGACCTTTGGGTCCAAGCCTTATGACGGAATCCCCGCAAGTGAGATCTCCACCATCCTGGAGAAAGGAGAGCGCCTCCCGCAGCCGCCCATATGCACCATCGATGTCTACATGATCATGGTCAAGTGTGAGTGACTGTTGTGCCCATCCACGCTCCGCCTGCTCTGCCTGGAAAGGCATTGCTGCCTTAGCCAAACAATCGGGACCTTCCCTCCCCTTAAGAAATACTGTCACATTCTTTACAGCAAGCACTCAAGTCCAGAAACATCTGTGAATACCCCGCTCCAGCATTCTTCAGGAAGCACTTGCTTGACTCATAGAGCATGTGACCTGACATTTGCCCATGTTTGCAAGCAAATAAATAAAATTGAAGTCCTCCACAAGCTATTACACCAAAATATTCTGTTCTCTGAGTTGCTCAGTGAAAAAGCTGCCCCACATTTTGAAGCCTGTTACCAGAGAGACTGAATGTTTTTAAATGCCTAACAATGAGTAACCACATGAGGCCAATAGAAGCAACATTTCTCCTTTAACTTAAACCTCTTAAATAGTGGAGTTATGTAAGGCCTTCTGCAGTGTAGCAAGTAAACATTTCAATCCAACTAAGAGTGGTACTTGATTGACGGTACTATTCCACCAGAATCACAAGTTCAGTAGGCTCTGAAGGTGACATTACGTGTGTGATGAGCATTTACACAAGAAAGTAGCACAGGGAAAATGCTCAAGCCAAGTTAATGTAAATATTAGTGCCTTTCTGAACTTCAGACCACAGAGTTCGTCTATTTTAACTTCCTTGCTCTGGGCCGAGGAAGCTGGAATCCAGAGAGGTTACATGATTTGTCTGAGGTCGCATAGCAGTCTGGCCTAAAATAGCTTGACATCCAGCTGATAGAAAATAAATGGGAACCCTCATGAGGCACGAGGATTTCCAGTCATTAGCTCTTCCTCCAGTTTGTTTAATCCAGACCTAAATCATTGTGTAATCAAATGCACTAGCATGGTTAACAAAAGTGTTCTCCTAAGGAAGGCTCTGAAACATCCCCCTCTCACTTGATGCATGATTACTGAGCAGGTAATGGGATGAAAGCACCAGCGTGTTTGTGTGGAGTTCCCAAACCCCGAGGTTCTTAAAGAAAGTCTTTCTATTTCCCTACCTTGAATCTAGTTTCCAACTTCCAAGACTGCTGAGTGAATATAGATGAGAGTGAATGTCGAGTGAGGGCTTTGAGATCCTGGACACAAGGGCACCCTACAGTCAGCACAGTTCAAAAATAGTGATGCATAGAGTAACACGGCTGCATCACCCAAGGTGACAGCACCAGATTGCTGGCCCTCGGGAGAGTCGGCGCAGAAAATTCCGGGATGTTATTGTCATTCTGATTCAGTAATCAGTGCTAGTTTGCCAAGACTGAAAAGTCTATCCCAAAGTTAGATTTCTTCATCATTTATTTGTCTAAAAGGATCTCACCATAAATGCTTTCTTTAAGCACTGCTATCTTTGCCATTTCCTTCAGGGTTCTAATTGTACCGTTTTTCCTCATTCCTTCCCCAGGCTGGATGATAGATGCAGACAGTCGCCCAAAGTTCCGTGAGTTGATCGTTGAATTCTCCAAAATGGCCAGAGACCCCCAGCGCTACCTCGTCATCCAGGTACCAGATCGTAGTCTGCACTTGCATTGGGAGAAGTCCCTCTAGTGAGCACCAGATGTCACTGTGTTCTATGGTGTGCCAACACAGCCTCCTGCCTCCCAGGTCACAGCATTAGATCCTTGATGCATCGGAGCAAGCCTTGGTTAAGGCACAGGCCAAATTGTGAACCAAATGGAGTTCATTTGTGGTGCCCCCAACTCCGTTCGTCATCCCCATCTGAACCCCATCTTAGTGCTGAACACAGGCTGCCGCATGCTCAGCTCCACGTGTTATATTCATATTTCAGTTAGCCAAACCCTTAGCTAGGTCTGATGGAGAAGCAGGGTTTAGGTATCAGGCAAACTAGGCTTCAAATCCCCAACTCGGCACTTACCGCTTTAGGTTAACAAAACCAAGCTGAGAGGGCTGTTTTAAAGATTCAGTGAAATTGTATATGCAAAATACATTGCATAGCACCTAAAGGTTCTGCTTAGCAATTCCAGTGTGTGTGTATGTATGGGTGTGCGGGTGCATGGTCGGGTGGGGGGAGTGTCCCCACACCACCAAGCAAGCAATTCTCCGACACCAGCTAGGTGTCCTACAAATCAACTAAATTCTGACACTATCTACCTGGAGATAGCATCATATCCCACAGGTTAAGGGCTCACTCCCACAGGACTATCCTCCCACCTTTAGATGCCAATCACAAGTCCAGGATGTTATCTGTGCTTCTGACTTTCTATAGAGGCTATAGATTGGAGGTTCCCACGAACCCCTCCTTGGGTTCAATTAATTTGCTAGAGCAGCTCTCAGAACTCAGAAAACCCGTTTGCTCACTAGATTACCAGTTTATTATAAAAGGACATAACTCAGGAACAGCCAGTTGGAAGAGATGCATAGGGCAAGATAAGGGGAAAGGGTGCAGAGCTTCCATGCCTTGCCCAGGCACCATTCTCCCTGAATCTCCACCTGATCACCAACCCGGAAGCTCTCCGAACCCTGTCCTTTTGGGTTTTTATGGAGGCTTCATTACATAGGGAGGGATGGTGGAGTAAATCATTGGCCATTACCTATGGATTCAACCTCCAGCTCCTCTTCCCTCCCCAGAGGTCGGGGGGCAGGACTGAAAGTGCCAGCCCTCTAATCCCATAGCTGGCTCCACTGGCAGCCAACCCCCATCTTTAGGTGTGGTCTTAAAGTCACCTCATTAACATAACAAAAGACACCTTTATAGGTCTCATTACTTAGGAAATTCCAAGGGTTTTAGGAGCTCTGTGCCCCAGAACAGTGGATGAAGACCAAATATATATGTCTCATTATAAATCACAATATCCTAGCACCTAACAACACAGTACACACTCAGTAAATGCTGCTGCTTCATTCCTTTCTTTTCCCTTGTAAGCTGTTTCCAGTCATTCAGGGGCTTTTAGACATCAAGGAATTTTTAATGTTTTAATTTCAGGTAGGGGGAGGGGAGGAAGCAGCTATATGTCAGGGAACCAGGGGGATTTTATTCTAAACTGGCAAACATACAGGCACCTGCTGACAATAGACCCCTACCCCTATAGCCAGGAAGTGGAGTAGCATCTCTCTGGATCTTTCTAATGGTCTCAAAAATCTCTGCACCAGGGAGATGAGAGAATGCATTTGCCAAGCCCTACAGACTCCAACTTTTATCGTGCCCTGATGGATGAAGAGGACATGGAAGATGTGGTTGATGCCGACGAGTACCTCATCCCGCAGCAGGGCTTCTTCCACAGCCCCTCCACATCCCGGACACCCCTCATAAGTTCTCTGGTACGAAATTTCACTTTCTCAAGCTGTGTGTATTGGTTTGAACAAATTGCGATTTGGAGAAAATGATACCCATCTAATAGAATTCACATAGATACAGAGAAGTAAATTTTAACCAAATGGTAAAGCCAAAATCAGTATGAATCAATTAAATGTATTAATTATTTTATTGCATTGCAGCAAATGGATTGCAATCTTTTTAGGTCCATTAAGAAACAGAATTAAATCAGAACTAAACCTAGTTTTTCTAAAGCTAATGAGTCTCAAGAAAAAATTAAGCACCTTTAAATGTAACCACTCCATGAGACCTACCTCCTGCATTCAGTGGAAATGGGTGAGAATGTGCAAGCATGTCATAAACAACCAATTCTTTTCCAGAGTGCCACCAGCAACAATTCCACTGTGGTTTGCATTGATAGAAATGGGGTATGTATGAAAACCTAATAAACTGGAATTAAGTAATTAAATAACAGCTCTGTATCATGGCTCTATTAGACATAGAAAATGCCCCTCTTGACCCAAATACTCTTGATTTTCCTTCCTGTATTGTTTCTTCCCTGCATGGTTTCCTTGACCCCCTACCCTAAGGCCAGCAATTAGTTGTCACTTATCACAGTGCTATTCAAAATGTGGTTCATGGACCAGCAGCATCAGCATCACCTGACAGTTTAGTAGAAATGCAAATTGTTGGGCCACTGGCCCAGACCTGCTGAGGCAGGGTCTGCAGGGGTGGAGCCCATCATCTGCATTTAAGCCAGTCTTCTGGGTGATGCTGATGCTTGATTACTTGATGCCTTGATCTAGACCCACACCCACCAACATAGAAGCCACTTGCCACATGTGGCTACTTAAATTTAAATTTTCATTAACTAAAATTAAATAAAATTTAAAATTCAGTTCCTCACACATGTGGCCAGTGGCTACCATCTTGAAGAGCACAGATTCTAGAACATGTCTGGTTGCAGAAAGCTCTGCTGGATAGCAGACCAGGTGCCTGCACTGTGGTCTGTGGACCAGCAGTATGGGTATCACCAGGGGCTTGTTAGAAATGCAGAAACTCAGGCCCTTCCCCAGACCCACTGAACCCCAAGCTGCATTTTAACGGGATCTCAGGTGATTTTTACATACATTGAAGTCTAAGCGGCACAGACTAGAGTAACCTTGCCTCATTTCCTCCAGCAGAGCTGTCCCCTCAAGGAAGACAGCTTCTTGCAGCGGTACAGCTCAGACCCCACTGGCACCTTGACTGAGGACGACATGGATGACAGTTTCCTCCCAGCGCCTGGTGAGTGGCTCGCTGTGAAGCAGTCATGCTCCTTAGCCCCCAATCTGGCAGCAGCTGCCTCCGTCCTCTGGTGCCTAGGCTAATTGCTTCCTTCAACGTGGTCCAAAGGTGGAGACTATGGCCAATTTGCAGCCATAACGAAAGGAGTAAGAGGCAGATCAATACAACACACCTGAACATGCACACAGGTCTTTGTGTTGAGCGCAAGTCATGTCCAGGTTGTTTGTTGGAGGTTTGTTTTTAGAATGAATCTGTAGATTTTCTAGAATTTGAAGCAAACAGCAAAGAAATACTTGTGTGTGTGTGTGTGTGAGTGTGTGTGAGCATTGTGTGAATGAGTGAACTTGTGTGAGTGTGTGAATGTGTGTGGGCATTGTGTGAATGTGTGAGAGAGCACGTGTCTGTGAGTGTGTTTGTGTATGTATGTGTACGACAGATTCGATCCCTGTTCTCTCTCCTGGCTCCATTCTTGGCCTGTGAAACATGTATATCCCTAATCTAAGCTTTATCCCCAGACACTCCTCACCTGCTTGCACACATACAGCCTGCCCCTCAAGGCAGGCTGTCGTCTGAGAACTTTAAATTGGGAAAGATAAATGTGCCCATTGCTTTGAGAAGTACAGAAAAGAACACAATTTATTTTGCAGCAGTAGCAAGACAGTCATCTCCCCAGGCTTCCCTTCATCAGTTGCCTCATTGAAGAATATCCACAGGGTTCAGAACTAGCCATGGAATCCCGCTTGGGATGATGCTTTGCTTATTACCTCCGATTTCTTTTCGATTTCAGAGTACATAAACCAGTCCGTTCCCAAAAGGCCTGCAGGCTCTGTCCAGAACCCCGTCTATCACAATCAGCCTTTAAATCCAGCTCCTGGCAGAGACCCTCACTATCAAAATCCCCCCAGCAACGCCGTGGACAACCCTGAGTATCTCAACACCACCCATCCTGACTGCAACAACAGTGTGCTTGATGGCCCTGCCCTCTGGGCACAGAAAGGAAACCACCAAATTAGCCTGGACAACCCTGACTACCAACAGGACTTCTTTCCCAAGGAAGCCAAGTCAAATGGCATCTTTAAGGGTCCTGCAGCTGAAAATGCAGAATACCTAAGGGTAGCACCACCAAGCAGTGAATTTATTGGAGCGTGACCGTGGAGGATAGCAAAAGCCGTAACAATTCCACACTCTTCAACCCCGCAGGACCAAGCCACAGCAGCTACTCCAGTCCTGATGGCCATGCTCACGTTAACTCTTGGACCCATGGACTGGTTTGGCCATATTTGCTCTGATAGGTCCATCTTTCAACCAGGAAGCACCTTCTACTCGGATGCACTTTGGGAAGTTGCAGGGACATTCCTGGAACATTCCTTTGTCTTCAAACTGTGAGGCTTCCATGAAAGGCATCCAGAAAGAATGTTGTCCATTTAAACAGAAGTTCACCCTTCAATGAGATATATTTGGAAAAAAACAAAATATACATAAAGAGTTTTATTGTTTGTGGGACCTTTGGAGTTTTTGATTGTCATTATTGACTTTGTTTTCAATGGGCTTTGCCGATGAGGAAGAAGCTTGCTGGTAGCACTTGCTGCACTGAGTTGATCCAGGCCCGACTGAGACCAAGAAGCTAGGGCCAGTCTTCCAGTTAACACTTGATTCCATCAGCTCTGCATCAAGACTCTTCCATTGCAAGACAATTAAATAAACAAGAAGTCCTCCATGTCCTAAGCAGGCCTGACTGGTACTGTGTCAAATCACGGCAGGTACAAGAGGATAAGCCACTTTGAACCCTTCCTGGCAAGGAAGAAACAGAGGGGGTAGAATTCTTCCTCAGACTTTTATATAAATGTCTCCATGGTACTTAACTCCCCATTGGTTGACTAGTGTTTTCTAATTATAAGTATTAGACTGACTTGTTTATTTTCCATTGTTTTAAAACTCAATATGCTTTGACGGTACATCAACCAATAACCAAGATCAGCTCATATTTGATTCATCAGCATTCAGACCAATAGGCTTTTATTAAGATGGAACAACAATGCAAAAGTTCACACAAGAACATATTCCCCAAATTCGAGTCTTAGAGGAAATACATCAAGTCCTCTGGGGGTCAGGGAGCAGACGTAGCAGACTGCAAAAATGAAGCCGCTCTTAAAACTGATTTAGCCTTCCCCACCAAAAAAATAGTTTAGGCTACTCATGGAAGGTAATTTTCTTGTTAATTCACTTTAAAAGTTTTTTACTCAAAGGGTACTTTGTTCCTCCCTGGTAAGCTGCTCCCAAAGCTCTTCCTTGCCCTTTGTGAATAAAAGGATCCAGGCTCTGGGGTATCTATGCCCTCACCACTGTGGGCACATTTTACAGGAAGGTATAAGGATAGCATTATGTATACTGTGGAGTTCAAGTGGTAAATATGAAATTCGAGTTTGAAATAGATGATAATGCCTTCACAACATCTACAGGTGTATTAGAAGAAAAAAAATTTTCCCTCTTAAAATAATTTCCCTATAATTGGAGGATCCAGCTAGTTAGGATACCAGCATTTTTTTCCTTTTTTTTTTTTTATTTTATTGAGATAACATTGGTTTATAACATTATATAAGTTTCAAATGTATATCATTATGTTTTGACTTCTGTATAGACTGTATCGTGTTCACCACCAAAAGTCTAGTTTCCATCCATCACCATACACACGTGCCCCTTTACCCCTTTCTCCCTCCCTCCACCCCCTTCCCTTCTGGTAACCACCAATCTGTTCTCCATATCTACATGTTTGTTTTATCTTCCACATATGAGTGAAATTGTAGGGTATTTGTCTTTCTCTGTCTGACTTATTTTGCTTAGCAGAATACCCTCAAGGTGGGACACCAACTTTTTTCCTAATCTGTGTGTTCCTGCAACCTGATCAGTTAATGGCCGTCCTTTGCAAGCAGCTTTTTAAATACTCTTAGTCAACATCCACCTCATCCAGTTTATCAAGGAAGAAATGTTTCAGACAATATTTTTGGCCAATGGATGCATTCAACCACACACATACAAAATTTTCCTTTTGCTTTTAAATTATTTATTGACTCTCAGATAGATCAGGGCCTCAGTTTGTTACCAAAATATTTTATTTTGTCTCACTGGAAATATAAACTATATTCACTTCAATTCCATTATGTTCTCAAATACTCTTTAACACCTATACCAGCCTGGCATGGGTACTAAAGATACAAAAGTAAATAAAACATAATTCCTGATTCCAAGAAATTCACAATTTAACAAAAGAATTGGACTCACAAATGATAACCGTATGTCAGCCAAGCACTATGACAGCACAGGGCAGGGAGTCATGGTTCTGCCTGGGGAGACCTGGAAGGCTCGTCAAGGAGGCAGTAGTGGAGTTGGGCCAAAAGATGAACAAGGTCTTAGCCACAGGAGAAATGGAAAGTGTACTTCCAGCAGAACCCCAACAAAGAAAGCATCTGCCAGAGGAACCACTAATCAAGTAGGTTTAGAGGCTGAGCTGTCATCTTAACGAGCTGCTCTTTCAGCCTGGGGATCAGGCTGGTGGCACCCCCCAAGTTCACTGCCTGTTGCATCCCCACTGAGGACTTGAAAATGATGAGTGAGAAGATTAAACAACATTTCTAAGATTCTGAAATTTTATGCCATTGTCAGTAAACCACTTTCATTATTTATTCACCTCAGAACATAAAAAAATATTTTCATCAGATGTTTATTTAGCACTGGAAACAGAATAATTCACATTCTGCTATTACTTATTTGTCAAGAAACATGATTGCTGAGGGAGAGCAAGTGTACACCAGTCAAATTGTAGCAGTTAAATCGTAGTATTTTTGTAATTTGAAATATTTTACTATAACATAATAAAACAGCAAAAAACTATTCAAGTTTTTTCTTCTTCTTTGTATTTCAATTTTCCTGCATAAAATCTAGTTGCTAAATTCTCTTAATTTTAAGATTGTGTTTCCCAAAATGTCCTCACCACGTCTGCCCAGGGAGGCGCAGGGGGGCTTGTAGATGCTGCGGAGCCCTAGAGCAGAGCCTAGTCAAGGGTCCCAGTGGTCACCGAGGGACGAGTCGGGAGAGGGGCTCCCCAGAGCGCCAGTATTTCTATATCATGGCCCCGATTGGCCAGATTTCAAAGCTTATGCTCTGTCCTTTTGGTTCTTCCTCATTGACAACAGTCCCCAAGACTCTACAGAGAGGCTGTCTGCTTTTCTTCCTCAGTCAGTTCCTGGAACCTTTCCCCGTGGCCCCAGCCTCAGATCTGGCCTTTGGAAACAGAGTTAGGGAAAGTAAGAGTTGGCACAGCTAACATTTACAATTGGCCACCATCCTCACATACATCTTCTCATGTAATCTCTGAGGAGTCCCTGCAATCATGCTCAGAAGAAATACTTCTGTCACCTCATGAAGTAAAACAGAGGTGAATGTTCCAAACTCTAAATTTGCACTGATTTTATAACTGGGAGCACTGTGGAGGCGTCATTGCATTCCAGTTGATGACAAGGCTCCGGGGTATTTGCTGAAAGTTCTTGATGTTGAGCATTAGCCCTACCCCCAAACTGCAGACAGCAGTAAACCATGAATTGCTCAGGCCAAAGGCACTGGTTCACAAGCGTGGCCACCCTTGGGAATCTCCTGGGTACCAACCAAAAAGACTGTTGCAGCCTGGGCCCAGGGACGTCTCAGAGCTCCCCGAGGTGGTTCTGGTAGCACTAAAGTTCGGGGACCACTGGTGTGAAGGCAAGGCTCAACGCGGGAGCCTTGGCCTTGGGCTGATGGCCTCCCGCTCATAACTCACCCCGCAGGCCTCAGGTAGCACAAGCATAGGATGAGGCTGTTGGATTACAGTGACTCACAGTTCTCACCCTCGCTGGCCACTAGAATTACCCAGTGAGCTTACAAAGAAAGGGGCTGGGGTCCCTTTGGACCAATTTAATCAGAATCTCAGGCTCCCCAGTGATTCTAATGGGCAACCAGGGGTGAGGTCACCTTCAGTGGTACATACCTCTGTGTCTCTACCAGGCCCCCAAGTCAGGGTAGAAGAAGAGACTCTGTGTGGTAGAGATGCCCAGATGCAGCAGACAACAATTTGCTGTCCCTAATATGCCCGGGACTTGGCCACTAGTGGCCATTCCAAAAGCCTCTAATTCCTTGTCACCAGTAGCTAATTTATCCTGACAGTGGCAAATACCCAAATCTGAGCCTTGATAAAGCCCTGGGACAGTTTGCATTTTCTAAGAGGTAAGTTAGAAAAATCAGCCTCCTCCCCCAGTGAATGAGCTGCTCGCTCAAAGTGACAGCTGTTGAAATTGCCCTTAATGTCTATTTTGCATTTCTTTCTTTGATAAGCACACGATTACAACATAATGCTCTGTTCATTTCTTTGGCTGAGGGCTGTAAAACCTTAGTGAACTGATATCTCAGCCTCTCTTACCAGCCACACCTGCCATATCAGGAGCATATGTTTTTGTACTATTAAAGGCACCTTCAGATAGGATTTTTAAATGTAAATCTATTTTTGTAACTTTTTTGAGGAGTATTATCCTCTTATGTAGCACTAACTTTGTAAGGTATATTTTTAGGAAAACTCATTTTTCTACTAAAGGAAACAGTTTACTTTAGAAAGACTGCTCTCTTGCAGTCAAAATATGAAACCGAAATCTTTGTTTAAAGGGATTTAATAAAAGCAAGAGAAACATCTCTTCTCTCTTATGAAAAGGCACAGTCTCACAGCAGAGGTGAGCTAGGTCACTATCCTGATGAAGAAGACAATCAGAATTTTATATTTATGAAATGAGAAAAGGTGGAAAGCACTTTTAGCTTAGTGTTGTTCTGAAGCAGATTCTGTTGAGTGTATTTGGGGCAATTTTAGGGGAAAAGAATAACTGTCTGTTCTCACTAACACATGGGTCCAACTGCATACCATACTCCACTCCTCTGCCTATATGACCCTATAAATGTAAGAAAAGCAACAATTGTGCACTTTGTTGGTTTATATATACTAAACTGACTTTGAAGCAAATTATTTTATTTTTATATTTACAACTGACATGCGTTTACCAATGTAGACTAGAAATATCTGAGAGCCCTAATCATGGTTAGCGTGTTCTGGTTAGTCCGTATTCTGATGCAGTCTGCCAACAGTCTTACCGAGCCTAAGTACGGCCACCCAGAGGCAGCTTCTCAGCCCTGCTGCACAGTGAAGTCACCTGGGGAGCCTTGGAAGATCTGGAGGCCCAGCTGCACAGGAAAATACACATCTCTAGGGGTAAAACCCCGGATTTGTACTTGTTAAATTTCCTAAAGTCATTCTAATGTACAGCCACGGTTGAGAACTGCCAGCCCAGGGGTTAGCACAGGTGTAGATTTGCCCGCAAACTGATGGAGGTACTTCCAGAGTGAGAGAACGCGAAGCCACAAAGACCTCTGCATTCGTCCATCACTGAGCATCAGGAACCTGCGCAGACGGAGTTCCACAATGTTTGCCCAAGTACCAGAGAGGAGAGGACTAACCAATCAATGAAAAGGAAAGGAAATATAGAACAGATACCTTTTTTCCATTTCCTCTATTAAAAGTGAACTGGTGGGGCCGGCCCGGTGGCATAGCGGTTAAGTGTGTGTGCTCAGCTGCGGCAGCCCAGGTTTTGGATCCCGGGCGTGCACTGACGCACTGCTTGTCAAGCCATGCTGTGGTGGCATCTCACATATAAAGTGGAGGAAGATGGGCACAGATGTTAGCCCAGGGCCAGTATTCCTCAGCAAAAAGAAGAGGATTGGTGACAGATGTTAGCTCAGGGCTAATCTTCCTCACGGAAAAAAAAAAAAAAGAAAACTGGACTGGCTATATTAATATCAGATAAAGTAGACATCAGAAAAAGGAAAATTAGCAGGGATAAAGAAGGACATAACATAATGATGAAAGGGTCAATTCACCAA